AATATAATCACTGAATTGTCGTTTTATTATTCAAGTTTCACATTAATTTCCATTTTTTTCTATTTTGCTGCTTTTAGTTACTCAAAAATAATTGCATTGTAACGTTATCTGATCATATCCCATTGATAATAAATATATATTAGAAGACATTTACAGCACACAATTAATTTTGTTTTATTTAAATGCAATCAGTGAATTATCATTTTGTTATTTAATTTCAATTCTGATTTCGTTAATTTTTTTAATTGTGCCACGTCTAATTATTCAAAAGCAATTGAATTGCAAACTTTATTGATCGCATCCGATCGATAATAGATATTTTCAGAAGACATTTATAGTGCGTAGTTAATTTTGCAATAATTAAATATAATCACTGAATTATCATTTTATCCTTCGAACATCGCGAAAATTTCTATATTTTTATTGTACTGCTTCTAATTACTCAAAATTAATTGCACTGCAACGTTTTCGATCATATTCGGTCGATAAAAAATATTATTAGACTACATTTATAAAGCACAATGAATTTTGTTCTGATCAAATATAATCAATGAATTATTATTTTATCAATCAATTTCATTCCAGTTCCTATCTTTCTGTTGTTGTACCGGTTCTAATTACTCAAAACCCAGTGCATTGCAACACTGTCGATTAAATCCGATCGAAACAGATGTTATCAGGAAACATTTACAATATAGTAATAGTTTTGGAATAATTAAACCCTGTTGCTTTATTATCATTTCGTCAGTTAAATTTTACAACGATTTGCATATTTTTTTAATTGTATTGGTTATAGTTACTCAGAAGTAATTGTATTGCAACGCTATTTCATCAATAATTTGCAGCAGTGAACTTGCTAGCAAGTTTTCTGCATATGGTCTGCAAGTTAACTGCTTATTATGTATGTATGAATATTGATAAAGCTATCTATTAGGTGCGGAAGATGACACAATGCAGAGAAGTTTATTCTCTAAAATAAAAAGAAAAACGATACTAATATCCATATGAAGCAAAAAATGATTAACTTATAAGCAAACGATAACAATGATAATAACAGGAAATTATTAGCAATAAAATAATGAGCAAGTGATAAAAATTTATCTAACGGAAAATGCCACATCAAAAATAACAGCGCCTTTTTCAACTTAAAATGCACCCCTCAGTTTCTTTTATATTTCTTCTTGTATACTTTTAACGACTCACAAGTTATGTAACCTTTACTATATACAGTACAAGTGAAAGTTGGCCTATTTTTGTCATGTGCTGCTATGTTTCTTTCAAATGTTTCTGTTTGTGTCTTTGCAAACTACTTTTGTATGCGAAACTTTTCTTACATATTTCACAAATGTACGGCATTTCGCCAGTATGAGTCCTCCTATGCTTTTGCAAATCGGATGACTGAATGAAACTTTTGTCGCATATTTCACAAAT